CCCCTCCCCCTGCTTGTCCATCTTTGAGGTCCTGATAAAGAGATTTAGGTTTAAATAGAAGGCAAGAAATATGTAAAACCAAGCAGTCTTAATCAAGGTGGGGTGCTTACAAAAACAAGGTTGCCTAGGAGCAACATCAAAGTCATGGTCATTTGTTATGACTTGTCACTCAACTACAGGTTGCATTTTAAAAATACACAACTCATTTTGTAAAATAAACATGCAACAATATTAGTAGATGAGTCTTCTGTGACCGAGGACTAGCTCATTCTATACCAGTTCTCTACAGATGATTGTAAACTGGAAAAAGAAACACACCTTATCATAATTAAAGTATTGATAGACATAAAAAACAGAGTCAGGAGACAGAGAGGGAGTTGTTTCTGGGTGCGTTTCCTGATTTTTCATTGCTTTTGGAATGAAGGCAACCACATCCTGTCAAACAAAGCAGCTATGAGTGAATAAAAATGTACAGCTTTAGTGATTTAACCCACATTTTACTAGCTTTTCAGATAAGATAGGAACACATCTGAAGTGACCAAAGCAGACAGAAGGTGAGGGTGATCTTAGAGAGAAAAGACTCAAAAGTTCCATGAGAAACTTTGTCAAGGGCAAGTTGAGTCAGCCTGGCTAAGAACTGGAGAGATTCTGTTGCTATGCATTGCAGGGGCAAGGAGTCAGAGCTTCGTTCTAGCCATGTTAACTGATTAAATGAAGTACTATTTAAAGGAAGGTAACAGGATCCAATCTCTAAAATGTACTGCCCATGGGCTTGGCAGCTAACAGTCATCCATATTCCAGCTCTAGAGTGTCTGGAGCCCTTTTCTGGCCTCTGAGGTGACTGCACTCACAGGTGCATTTATATCCATGTAGGCAAAACACTCATACACATAAAATAAAAATAAATGTTTTTAACAAGAAAAAGAAAAGGTACTGCCCAAGTTCTATATAAAATCGGAAACTACCTGGTATACACGCAGAGAAAAAGCAATCAACACAGAAAAGATCCAGATGCTGGACTTAGTACATAAAGACTTCAAAGGCTATGATTGAAGATATGAAGGAAAATAAACATATAATAAATGAACCAGTAGGAAATCCTGTCAGAGGAAAAACACAACTATTTAAAAAAGAAATTGTATTAAACTATTTTTTAAAAAGGCTTTAATCCCAGCATTTGGGAGGCAGAGGAAGGCAAATCTCTGTGAGATGGAGGCCAGCCTGGTCTTCACAGCAAGTTCCAGGCCAGTCAACTTTAAAGAGACCCTGCCTTAAAAAGGGGGTGGGGGTATTATAGTCAAAAGATGCAAAGTCTGAGAAGAGAAACTACACAGACTTAAGAGAAAATTGTAACAGAATAGTTGGTGAACCTGAAAACTAATTAATAGAGAAAAACATAATTTTAAGTTGAAAGTGTTTCCAGGTCTTAGTCTACTATCAAGATCTTTTAGAGGTTAGAGAGATGGCTTAGCTTACAGTTCTTCCAGAGGACCTGAGTTCAGTTCCCAGCATCCATGTCTGGCAGCTCACAACTGCGTGTCACTCCAGTTCTAGGGGATCTGATGTCCTCTTCTGGTATCCATGGGCACCCGCACACATTGAAATATACACATAGACACACATTCTATAAATAAAAAATTTAAAAAGATCTTTAATTTATGTGCAACTTGAAATACAGGAAGGGGAATGGAGCATAACTGAAAGAATACCATCCAGAAATTTCCTAAATTTTATGAAAGGCACAAATTTACAAGCTCAGTGAGCCCTAAGCAGACTCAGTAAACAGAAAACCACTTCTGGGATGTGAAGCAACACTGCTAGTGAAGCCATTTTGGAAGGAAAGAAAAACAAACCATACCTGCCGGTGATGTAGCAATTTCACTGTCAGGTATCTACCCAAGATTTGCACAAATCTTACCCAAAAGGGCAGGTAAACCCATTATGTTCCCACAGTGAACTAGTACTCAGTGGTAACAACTACACACATGCAAGGACATGAGTGAACTTCAAAAACAAGCTGTAAACAGCAACATGCAGAAGAATACAAGCCATTTCCACCTATAGTTAAAAAATAAATCAGGGCTGGAGAGATGGATCGGTGGTTAAGAGCACTGGCTGCTGTTGCAGAGGACCAGGGTTTGGTTCCTAGCACCCACCTGGCAAATAGGTCTATAACTCTAGTTCCAGGGAATCTGACGCCCTCTTCTGACTTCTGCGGGAATTGCACAACAGAGCTGCACTTACATACTTCTAAAACACTCATACACATAAAATAAAATAAATAAATAGGGGTTGGGGATTTAGCTCAGTGGTAGAGCGCTTGCCTAGCAAGCACAAGGCCCTGGGTTCAGTCCTCAGCTCCAAAAAAAAAAAATAAATAAGTAAATAAAAAATATAAAAAGGCTTGTTAAAAAAACCCTTTTCTTCTAGCTTCTGAAAGCTGTTGACTGAGCAAGGCCCTGGGTTCAGTCCTCAGCTCCAAAAAAAAAATAAATAAGTAAATAAAAAATATAAAAAGGCTTGTTAAAAACTCAAGGGTTGCCCTGGTTCTTGGGACAGGAGAGGACTGATTTTGGAGGATGTGACTGAGTTGCTAAGGTGACAGTATGACTTCATCTCAGTGCAATGTGGATTACACACTATGGTTGTATTCACTTAAAGATATATTCTACATTAAAATATTGAATATAAATATTAAATCCTACTTAATATGTATGCTGAATAATTTGGGGATGGGGCTGTTACTATGGATATGCAAAAACAAGATGGAGGGAGGCATCAGTAAAGTGTAAGATGAATTAACACCTCCCCTACCCCCCCAGGCACCCAAGCTGCTCTTGATCAGGGCATTTATCACAGTAGCAGAGAAGCAAGCTAGAACACTATTCTTAAAAATTTACTGTGGAACATGAGAGCCACAGTTCAAGATTTCAACAGTTTAAAGATTCTAAGCTTTTGAGTCCTCAGCAAGGAAGTCCTGGCCTTTTCTCAGCTTTAGTATTTGGGAAGCAAATTAGCTCTAAGGTGCCTTCAAAATATAAGTAACATGAATGAAATGGACCTACGATATCTTCTAAATATAATTTGAGTATTATATAAAGCATTTGGCTGTCATGATCAATGAAAAACCGACTGGTAGGAAACAATCTAATTTATACACTATACTTCAGCTATGCATTTACTGTGAGCATTGTTGCCTCAAAGTGTCCCTGACCCAATGGGCATGGTCTGAAGCATCTCACTGTATTCCATCTCATGACTTCCTCTCCTTCCTTTTCACTAATATCTTTCTTTCCTTTGCCCCTGGCTAACCTTTTCTTTCTTAAATCTCAGCTTCCCTTGGGCACAGACTTGATGAGACACTCCCACCTCACTCTCAATAGCACTGGCTATTCAGAGTTCAACATAGATTTTTTTTTTTTTTTACACATTGTGTTAGGGTGAAAATGATCCACATTCAGTAAAAACTGTCCTTCAAATTTTGAATTTCAGTCTTTTTAAAAAAATATTTTATTTATTATTTTTATTTTATGTGTATGAGTGTATTGCCCACATGTATGTGAGTGTACCTGTATTGTGCAATGCCACAGAAGTCAGAAGATGGCTTTGGATTCCCCTGGAACTGGAGTTAAGGACGTTCGTAGGTGCCATGTGGGTGCTGTTAATCGAACCCGGGTCCTCTGCAAGAGCAGTCAGTGCTCTTAACCGCTGAGCCATCTCTCCAGGCCCAAATTTCGGTCTTTTATCAGGAAAATGCTATGTGGTCCACTCTTTTTTTCACAATGCTGGGCACTGCGGCGACTGCTAGGAAAAGCAGTCAATAGTTTCTGGAGTGCTGTATTTGCTGACCTAGCTTGTTTGGTAGGCTAATGCATTAAATATATCTTAATTGAAGATATTTTCAATTTACAGTGAGTTTATTTGAACATATCCCCGTTATAAGTCTAGCAGAAGCAGTCATACATAAAAGATGATTTTTCTCATTAGACAAGATGTCCCATGAGGGCAGGGACTGGCCTAGCCACCATACTCCACCCAGCAAGTAGCCTGCACTGGCTCACACTGTATGTGAACTATGAAGCAGTCTTCTGAGAGCTATGCGCATATTAACATATTTAAGCTGCTACATAAAGCCCATGTCTACTTCACTAAGTTCAATCATGTAGGGAATATAGACAAAGAATGAAGGTACCACACATCAATAATCAAGTACTACTATAGAGAAAATCAAAGAACATCGTACTCCATGTCTTTAAATGCTGTTTATGTTTACTTTTTGCCTAAAAACAAAGTTGGAAACCCATCCACTCATTTCATCATTTGTCAAGAAACTGCCTACTCTCCAGCAGACTGGGCACCGAGCTGAGACTCTCAGTGAAGAATAAATAAGGTCCATACAAAGCAGTGTGTGCAAGGCTTTGCAAAGACCCAGCCGTCCTGTGTAAAGACCATCATAGTGAAAGCAAACATGTCACCACCAGTGTTCTAAGGCAGCTGTTTCAGAAGTCCACATTCCAGTCCAGCTTTACTCATGCTCCCATTTCTCCACACCCCCAATGAAGATCTGCCCCTAGGTTGAGTTTTGTGTCTAGTCAAGTCCCAGTGAGAACTCTGCTTTACTCTAGTTTTCTCATGTGAAATAGAATGTCCTTCTGAAATGATTCAAGGTGTTAGAATATCTCATATGCATAGAATACCACAAAATATTACTATTTATTCTGGAGAGTAAATGTACCTAAGTGTCCTGGCCTCTAACCCACTGATCACGTTGCCTTATTCCCAGAGTAGCTGCTTCTAACTACACACAGGAGGTGGTGCTTCCCTGAGGCATTGACAAAATTCAATCTGAACTGTGGTCACATAGAAATTATGTAGAAAGTGAAGTGCAAATCAGGGTGGAATATTTTGCTGTCTCATAAGGAAAATGCTAACTACAGATCCTATACAACTCTCAACTTCTCTTCCAAAGGAGTTAAACATATAATGTTATTATAAACAGGCAGAACACCCTGTAGGGTTACAAGTATAATTTTATTTAGATGTTGCTTGTAATCTATAACAAGATATAGAAACAGATAAAAATTGTTTGACAGTTTTTAATACCACTTTAAATTCAATTTACAGCTGCATTGATAATACTGCAAAGATAACAGATACTCTGCTTCATAAAACAAAAATTACTTGCTATTCTGGCTGATACATTCCCACCAGTCCTTAATGGATTAAAATGTATCATGTATTTCAGTGGCAAATATTACAAAATGTTCACAACCCTAGGCATTCTATGCTCATAAAGGTTTCTGATGTGTTAAAAATGTACTGGAATGAAGACATAAATCTTTTAATAGCATCCTTAGTAAATAAAAACATAAGTAACCAAATCTCATGGTTTGGTGTTAACAGTGCAAAGTCATTTGCCTTCTGCAGCATAGTGATGTGTAGACTCAGGCATCTTTCCATCCATTCACCCACCGATCCATCCACCCACTCATCCATCCACCCACCCACCTGCCTGAGCCTATACCATGAGGAAAAGCTTATCAGATTCTCAAGCTAAAATATATAGGGAGCAATAAAACTGGGGATAAGTTAAAACAATCTTAAAATTTATAACTAATTCAAAGCATACAATTTATAGAAATTAAGTTATGGTCTCCATTTGTTTTAGTAAATACTTTTTGAAAATGAAAAAAAAGGTAAAATTCTTCACTTTATTCTTTTTATGCAATATCTTATTGAAGCAATTTGGATTTAAATTTTAGACTAAATCAAATTTATTGAAAAGATACTCTAGAAATAATCTAAATTGGATTTTAGCCATTTTTGATTCTGTTAAACATTGTAGAACACAGTGGGGCAAAAGCTTTCTCGCTAGGTATAAAATAAAAAAACAACATGGTAATGAAACTACAGGACAACTAACAATTAATAAGCTCATGAATAATGATGAATAAAGTGCCACTAATTGTATTATGCTACGACAGAAGAAATCCTGACATGGCTGGTAGCTTTAATGTATTCCCCTCCACCCTGAGAGATTAAGGTCCTACAAAATAAAGAAGTGTTGTCAAATGTGAGTTCTAGAATTATACAGAGCACACCTAACACAAAAGGGCAAAAGGAGTCCAAATGTTCAAAGCTGGGAGAGAATATCAACATAGTAGGTCCCAATGTTGGAAAAAAACAGAAATAGAAAAATGAAATGTAAAAGCACATTAATAACAACTAATATGCAAAAAAATCATAGTAACGGCCAAGTGGGTAGAGGCTCCAGGGAGGGCACTGGAAGCGTGTGCTAGGCAGCCAGGCAGCAGTGAGTATGCAGGTGCATGGCCAAAGCAGGGTTTAGGCAAGGGCCGGTGATAGGCTCAGTGTCAAATCTGTGAGTGGAACTCAGCACTGGCAGGTGTTATGTGATGGCTGCCCAAATGGATGGAAGCCCATTCACATGGGGTGATGTGGGCAGCTAGCTGACATCCCCAAAACTAATTAACAAAAATCATTTGTTACTATCCTATGGACATTCTCCATCAACTCACACAACTTTGCTCTAGCTCTAGATTCCTCCTTTTACCGAAAGTGAGAGACACTAGGATCTGCAGTCAGTCTGAAATAGCGCATCTAAGAAAGAATTCCTCAAGAAGCCAGTCTCCTAGTACATCTGTGAGGTCCTGTCTGTAACCTAAGTCTGGGGACATCACAACTACTTATTCTAAATGATCAGCTGTTCTTCCATAATAACAAAGTAGACACTGTCCTCCTGGAGTCCCCAGCCCCCACCTAAGTCAGGGCTGTGGGATCGCCATGTGGGAAAAGGGACAGGTCAGGCACAGGGGAACTTTTAGGGTGCTTTGCTATGGTGACGGATTGAATCAAGGTCATCTCATGAGGTACTTATTAGAATTTAATGTGCCAACAACATGAAGAGAACTGTGCTTCTGGGAAGGGCAAAAGCCCTGCTCATGGGACTGACCACTAATCCAGCCATAGCACCTTGGAACGTGAATAGCTGACTATCTTTTACCTAAACCAGAGCTAGTGGAGTAGGGTGTCATATTATGCTCTCTATGGAGAACAAAGGAGCAGCAATCCCAGGAAATGAAATGAGGCATTCTCATTTGCACTGGGGGGTCAGATGTGGCAGCTCTGCCCAGAAAGCCCCGCAGACCCTGGACAGCTTGCACCTGGTCTAAAGTGTTACCCAAGCTGTCAGGGCTGGCCAATTATGAGTTCCATCTCCTTGGCCACCACAGAGTAAAGAATCTTGTTCTCATTTGCATTACTACTGAGCTGCTGCAACCCTGTGCAAAAATCACCAGTGAGAGCATTCACCAAGTCAATTTTCACAGGGATCTCTGCTTGAAAAGGGCCTCTCCAAATTCAAGTGCAAAGAGGCACTGAAATGAACAGAGCATATGAATTCAATCAGAGGCTACCAAGCCAAGAATCCAAATGAGGAAACATCTAATTCTGATTTGTTAGACCTTTCTAGAAACAAATTGCTCTGAAACACACTGTCCAAAAGAAAGGAAGAAACAAATAGTAAAGCAGTTATCACTTACTGATTGGAAGACATCACTCTGACACAGTCATTAATCTTGCAAAGTCCTGACACCAGGCAGCTTCACAAATACATGGCTAGTCCACTGAATCATTGGCTCAACAAGAGTGAAGACTCTCACAGCCCAGAGAGAAGCAAGATGCTGTTTCAGGACAATGCAACAGTTACAGCACATTTCTTCATGTGCAGCGCGATGTGCTATGTTTAGTGGCACTTAAGTATTACACAGTAAATACCGAAAAAAATCCAGAAATTTTGGATGTGCAGAAGCAATATCACACTGTTAATACAAAAGGTGCTAAGCTACAGGAATATACTACTGTGTGGGTGCAGAGACCACATGAACTCCTAACACTTCCATACGGTGCCCTAGCTGTCCACCTGCCACCTGGCCTGTGTAACTCAGTCGGACCAGTCATTCTCATCAAACTCAGAGTCATCATCTGAGTCGCTGTACTCCACAGCAATGCGTCTTGACAGGATTGTGGCCACGTCGTTCCCGACAGGCTCCCGCTTGGCTTCCTGCTCACGCTGCTCCTGCACCTTCTTTAGCTGAATTCCTGGAAACAAAATGTGGGGATGAGAAGCAAAGCTCTTTGCTAGCTCCAGATAAAGGAAAAACAAACAGGTCTGCTGGACTTTTCTACCAAGCTTATTAATGAAGTTCTAGATATCTGAGGGGAGAAGAGAATGTGTGCAAAGTTTACTCTTGGAAATAGTTAAGAATAAAACCATCTACTCAACTGCTCAGTGACAAAATTACCAGGTGACTTAATATTTACCATTCTAACTTTTTTTGGACATAATTTCAGATTTATGGAAGAGCTATGAAACCAGGAAAAAAATCATTTCCAAACTAACTCCACATCCTGCATTCCCCAGCTGAGAACATTTGAAGTCATCCTAAACTTCTTCCCACATATACACAGATACTTTCCTCTGGACCATTTAAGAGTATGTGGCACATAACATCCCTTTACTACTGAAATACATCATGGTTCCTTTCCTTATAAAAAAAAAAAAAAAACCCAAACCATTGAAAGTTAGCATGCACTACTATTTACCCTACAAATATTATTCAAATGTTGCCAATAAACCAGTGTAATCACAAACAGTTCAGAATCCAAGGGTCCCTGCCACATCAGTCATTGCTTCTGTTAACATCCCTTAATCTAGTGAGTTCTTTTGTCTTTCTGCTTACAGCCTCCACATTTGTAAAGAACAGAGGCACTCTTCTGCAGTATGTCCCTCAGCTGGTGTATATCAGATATTTCTTCCTGGTAGTCTCTGGTTATATATGAACTCTCACTGCACATGGCCACAGGTATAGGAAGCAAGTCTACTGCTCTCCTATTATGACTGTAAAGGTGATGTCCCTAAAGTAGTCTACCTTTTGGACTTTATTGTTGAAAAAACAAAAGTCTATCAGTGGCGTTCAAGATATACAGAGGACTCCAGGGTCTCTGAGACGACAGGTGTGTGAGACTGTGTATATGAGTCATAACCTAGGCCTTATTCAAAGTGCCCAGGAAAAACGCAGAGACAGCATGTCATATTTGTATCAAGGACATCATCAAAGCTGACTTCCTAGGGCTGTAGGCCAGTCACTTTCTTCAGTTACTTCCAGATGAGACAAGTGAAGGCTTGTGAGACCAGGCGGCTACTTGGCGACTGCTGGTCTGGTGTCCCCCTTGACCATCCTGGGCTTTGTTTGGTTAAGAGTGAATGATAGGTTTCCCTGTGAGGGTCCTTGGATGCTGCTGATATGACCAAGGAGCCAGGCTCCCTGCCCTGAGTCTACACAATGCACTCTACCACTTCTGTCACAGGGCTTGGGGGTGAGGGTAGGACTTCTGCCTGAAAACCTTGTTGTGATGCTAAATAAATGCTGAATTGAATGTCTCTGGCTTAGCACATCAAGCTAGTCTGTGACAAGCCTGGTACACGACTTGGATTTGTTTAAAACAATAGAATCATTGCTAGACACTCATTTTCTTTCATTTGTATTTGGAGTAGAAAGGGGAAGAAAGGTCCTATTAATTAACTTATCATTTGTTATCAAGTTTCTAGTTTCTAGCCAAGTAAAGCATTCCTGAATTTCCAATTCTCTATTATGTTTCCATGATACCAACAAAAAAATAACAAACAAGGCTCCTTTATTATAAAAAGTAGTGGAATATAGTTATCATTTGAAGGCAATGAGGTTGTAGCTAGTTGGAGACCTAAAGAAATCTCTTCCTAAAAGAAAGGCTGTGTTAGAGGTTTCCACTTACCCATCCGGATGGCAGCAAGTAGGTCACTTCTTGCATCACTTATGGGTGGCTGTGCAGGCTCTGGGCGCTTTGCCTCAGCTGCAGGGGGACCGTGCATTGGGGAGGATGAGAGAGAAGAGGTGGGACCAGGAGGGCCTGGTGGAGGTGGAGGGGGGACTGGAGGAGGTGGTGCTGTAGCCAGGAGCCCAGCGGAGGGCTGGTGAGGAGGGGTGGAGAATATGGAGCCAGCTGAGGGGGGGAATGGGGGCTGTGTGGGGATCTGGAGAGGGCTAACGAAGGCAGTTTGTGCTGAAGGAATCATGGGTGGAGGGGGAGGTGGTGGCGGTCCTGAAGGGTTGTAATATTCAATTATCTGTGCTGGAAGCATCCTAATGAACAGAAAAAACACAGTCAGTCAAGCAAGCATGGAGGATTATATCCTCCTAGTACTAATATGCCTAAAGAGAAGATTCCTAGGACACAACACATATTGCCAGTTGGACCAGAGTTACTATAGAATGCAAGTGCCTACTCTGAGGATGGGTTGTTTTCAGTTGTCCATTATTCATTATGACCTTGCAAGATCTACTGAAATGTTCCTAGAGAGTCAAGTCGGAAGCATGGGAATTTTCTGTGGATAGCTGGGTTACCATAGCTGGCTATAAGAACATGAGCAGTTCTTTTCATCCTGGAACTCTCAAAGCTGTGCAGCTCGTAACCTTGTCTCACGATGGCTTTGAGGCCAAGGAGACTGGGAAAACTCTGCATTCTCTAGCTCTGCCTCATGAGAATCACTAGGGTTAAAGTGTCCAGCAAAGTGCCAAACACTCCAAGAAATAGGTCAACAGTTTTCCAGCCCATCTGAACCACAGAACCACAGGCTGCCCAATGTAGCAGCCTCCAAACACATCCTGAGAATCCAGATTATTGCAGGCCAAAAGACAGGGGACACCTAGGGCCTGTGGTCTCACCTTTCAGGGTGGTGGGCATTCATGTAGAAAGTAACACCAGCTCTCTGGGATGAAGAAGACACACTGTCATGTTCAACTTTCCGAGTGTAGATACTAAGGAGCCTTTTAATAATTACACCCAAAAAAAGCCAAAGACAGCCTATCAAAATAGAGGGGAGAACTCAAACAGGGAGGCCTGTACAGTGTTGGAATAATGCTCACAAATTAGAAATTAGAGGGTCTAGGGCAGAATGATCTGAAAGCCCAGAGGTCAAGTAAGGGCAAATCGTGAGGAATGATATTACATGGTTTCATCATCTGTGACCAGCAATCTCTGTAGTCCACCTAGGATATGTAGAAAAACTTGAGGGTATGGAGAGGTTCACAAATAAGCATTTCATCTTTAATTGATGCCTTGGCTTAAAGTTCTCTTGAACATATTGGTATGTGGGCAACGGAAGCACATATACAAACACAACTATCAACCTGAGATTTAACTATTAATAGGAAAGTAGCATGATTCTGTACCTATTTTATTTGACATAGACTCTGGCATCACTGACATTATGTCCACTCATTCCTGACTATATTCTGTATGATAAAATTCTATCACATATAGGAAGACACAATCTCAAGAGCAGTAACAACTAGCAAACAAGGAATATAGATTTACCCATAGTCTGCTGGAGCCATTGGCGCAGAGGCCTGGGACCCCTCTGTGGCCTGGGGAGGAGGTGGGGGTGGTGGCTGCTGAGGTCTGTTTAGGGCCATGTGCCTTGCTGAGGCAGAAGAGGGTCGGTACTCATGCTCAGAGACTTGGTTTGTGGTTCCGTGCAGTGGTGTATCACCAGCTGCATAGGATGGAGTTGCTGGCTGTGGGTGCAGAGAATGGTTGGGAGTAGCAGGATAAGAGTAATCCGTAACATCTGATGTGTGAGACCTAATGTCAGAGAAAGGAGGTGAGAGAAATCTAAATTAAGTTTTAAAAATTTCCCCCAAGAGGAAAAGCAGTATATATGAATAATAACACTGTCAATGCATGAGAGTAAGACACTTATTTCCTTTACAATCACCTAGGTGTAGTCCCATGAGAGCTTCCAAGCAGCAACACAATTATTTTAGCAGCAAGCCCTAGTGTTACATGGATCCAGATTCATAGCTTTGAAGTAAGTCAGACAGACTAGCAAGCAGAAACCAACAGAGCCTCATTTTTACAGCATTTCACAGTTTCTTAGGAAGACGAGGCAACAAATGGCATTTCACTTAAAAACTGTTTCAGACTGACAGAGGACTTCAGTGGCAATCAAATTTGACAGTATATCATTAGAAAATATAAAATGGTAGGTGACCTGGATAAATATTAACAGCAAGAAGAGAAAGAGAAATCCAGAATGCAACACTAAACTGTAGTTTTCCTAAACAGAAGAAATGTATTTAACACAAAGAAAAAAAAGCAGCATGGTGCGCTATGGACAGGTTTCTTGGGTTTTGAGCACACAGCTACATATGAAGCTCTGGAAGGAACAGAAACCTTGTATTAGTCAGTGAGCGATTTGGAAAGAGTAGACACTGGGCAGCGTACTCAGCATAGGTGAGTGGAGCTGGCATACGTGGCAGGCTCAAGCCACATTAGTAACAGACACACTTTCCCGCCTGAGTTATAGGACATAGGTCAGTAGGGGCTGCACATCTTCTCATGACGCTGAAGCAGGGGGTGGCATGGGGCTGGAAACCCAAAAATAGAGCAAAATGACAAACCCTCTGGGCATCCTGTCCTCTTTGATGCCCCCTGCCTGATCCAGTTTCTTTGCGTCACTCATAAATTCAATGCCCATTTTCCTTCTTTCCCACTCTTCTTTTCTTGTTCTGACTTTTCTCACATGCACCTGCTGGGTCCTGTCAGGATTCAGCTTATGTTTCTCTCTCTGAAGGAAACAGGCAAACATACATTGTGGATGTGGAGGAGGAGCAGGAAAGAAGATTCAAACCAACTTCTTCTACCTTTGGGATTTCACAGAGTAGCTTTCCCTAACTGGAGCACTGTATGGCAGGCAAGCTTACTGAATCACATGAGCCTGCTCCTCTCCTTGTGATTCCCTAACTGCAGCATAATAATTCATAACTAATTTATTTCTTCCCTATCTGCACTATGTATTCTATGTATTCTAGATTATGGTATGCATGTACAGATGTCTTAACTCTTCCAATTTGCTAGCAAATGAGTTAAAAATATTTCAGTGGGATAGAATGTCTGACTTGAATTTATATTCAGAAAATTTAATATACCTAAAGCTGTGGGGTCACTGGTGATACATGCCTTACTCTGAGGAGAAAGGTCAGTGACCGTGTATGCCACGTTCCAGCACAACATGGAGTGTTTCTAACGAGACATAGGGTACAACACTGCATGTACTGTCATACAAGTGAGAATGCTATCCTTGTAAAATAGCTTTGCCATGACAAAAAGGAGTCAAGACAAAGGGGCCGGCCAGACCAAGGCAGAGCTAGGGCAGAGGCTACAAATGACTGAAGGAGAGATGAGAGCTGACAGTTTCTACAGGGCAGGACTTTGAAGGGTGGCAACTAAAGACAGGGCAGAAGGACGGAACAGATCACGTGAAGACTAGAGGATCAGAGAACAGGCAGGCGGAGGGGGCAGCTCTAGGGGGCTGAGTGGGCAGGCAGAAGGTAGCTATGAGCTACTACACTGATGTGGAGGTCAGCAAAGTGGTCCTGATGCTCTGCAATGACCAGTCACCATCTGTTGCAGCAAAAAGAACTGATGGGTTAAGACAATACCGAAACAGGAAGAAGGTGGTTTAGCAATGGCCACTTGGTCAGAGTGTCCCACAAATCCTTAGTTTGTAGGCGGGCGGCAGGGCAATCACAGCACTAAGGCATGGCTCAGAGGTAGATGAGAGAAAATAAAGTCAGTTGGATATGGAGGTGTAACGCTTTCTGAGTAAACTGACAGAAAGCTGGTTATCTGGAAGTTAAGCATTTCAGTAACTTTCACCAGAAAATCAGTTAGGCATAAACCATGCCCAGCATTCTGTAGAGAGAGGGCAAATTTAAGATTCTTTCGTATGGATTCAGCTAAGATATGCGCTAGTATTATGACTGGCTTATATACATGTCATGAAACTTGGTATTAAATTTTCCTTAGGATCGTGAATACACATGCATAAGATGCAACTTTTAAAAAATCACGTTTTAATCAAATAATATTTAAAACACAAAATATTTTTAAGATGTCAAAGGGAAATACATAGCATGATTCCAGCTTTTACTTTTTCTGCAATTTCCAGATACAAGTATGCTTTATATCATAATAAGAAAAACTTGGGGCTGGAGAGACGGTTCAATGGTTGAAAGCACTTGCTGTTCTTGCAAAAGACCCAGATCCACAATGGGTGGATGCCTCAGGCCTCCGTGGGCACTGTACTCATATGCACACACACCCCCAATTGAAAATAAGTCTGAAAAAAGTAAAAAGTGGCAAGTTTTAAGAAAATAAACAAAGCTTTCTAAATTAATTTAAGGGGTGCAGTCTAAGTACCACAAGGAACTATGATTTGGTAGTAAATTATGTACGCAAATAGTGAACAGTCATGAGACACAGCAAAAGGAAATTCTGATGAAATACAACAAACAACTCTGTTTACTTTTTGAAAGCTAAGAGAAATGAAGCCGTACCTAGCCACACCTAGACAATGTAAGCACATAGGCAGAATGCCAAGTAATCCAAATGGCCATTGACATTAGGCTCAGCATGGAACAGCCTAATCTCAGATAGTAGGGTACCATTCAACTGAGGGGTTAAAAAGATCCACCAGTTTTCCATTTATATGTGTTTAAAATTAAGAGTCTATATAGAATAAAATAGGTGCATGTTTTACATGACCAAATTTAAATCACAACTCAGTTATCTGGGAGAACAAAAGGCAAACTAACATCAATGGGAACTACTGTGTTCATGTATTCCTCACCACCAGGAGCTGAACTGTAACATTCTTGCTTTCTACATCAATAAAGTGATAGTAAATTTCAAATCTGAGGTTAGAACTCAAAACTCCAGCAGGTCTCTGAATATTTCAAGTAACAGTGGTATAGAAACATTTACCTAGAATCTGCCTTATACCCTGGAAGAGCTTACAGGCTTATGCAGGGAGCAATACTGAAAGCCTTGTAAACTCTGAATTTGTCTCCTAGCAACCCAGTACTTTGGGTAGGTAGAAAACGAACTAAGCAAGGTTATAAAGGTGACAAGAACAAAAGGGGCAGAAATGAAATGTGAGGGGGCAGGTTTGTTATCTTTGACAATTTCTTGGATCCTTTTTAAAAATATGGAATCTCATGTATCCAGTATGACCCTGAAATTCTTTCTGCATCTACCACTTGAGCACTAGGATTACAGGCCTGTGTCATTATGGCTGGTTTATGAATGCTATGGCTCAAACCTGGAGCTTTACGCATGGCAAGCACTAACACGACCAACTGACCTATGTCTTGCTTCTAGTCTAATTTTTAAATGCTGAAGACTGAAAATCTATGCGAATGGATTACAACTTTACAAAATAGAAAGAAACTCAACCAAAAGTTTAAATACACCAACCAGTTCTTGTCATCCAATGAATCTCTTTACAGGACAAATATGACTTCGTGACCTGTTTGCACCTGTAAGAAATATTTTTACTTAATTGCTAACATACTCTGGAAGTAACCTCATCCAGAATTCTTCTCCTGAAATTAGAATATGTAAGATCAGTTATCTGAAGTAAGATATCAAACCCTCTTTTGTTCCTATCTTTTTCAAATGAAGGTCTTCCTGGGTCAACGCAGTCACCTACTCAGATAAAGAGCAAAGGAAATTCAAAATCCTACGCTAAAGTAGTAAGTGATAACTAAAGTAAAACTGAAGTCATTGACAGTTATCCCAAGTTCAGAATCAATGTTAATATTAACCAAAGGGAAATTTAAGAAAGTTTAAAAAAAAATCATAGAAAGTAGCCCAGTTTAAAACAGCAATGCCTTACTGTATTATTTCGAAGTCAAAATACACATGTCATTTTAAGGACATAATCATGGGATACACAAACCCAAAGCTTATGGTGCATTTTTCAATTTAAAATACAGTGGTTGAAGCATGGGGGAGGGGCTATGACACACACACACACACACACACATACACACACACACCTAGTGTCTGGGGACAGAGATCCCTCGGAAGATGCTCCATGGTGCACACTCTGAGATAACCTGTTGTCGGGTCTAAGCTCTTTGTCATATGCCATCATATTCCACTCCTGGCGCCTGTTTCTGGCTTTTCTAACCTTTTTCACCTCACGGGTGGTGCCATCTATACGCTTTTGCTCCTGATGTCCAGGAAAAGAAAGAAAGCATGCCAAGACAGAAGGGACAGGAAAACAGCAGGTTAAATGCGGTTACAATGCATAGAAAACAAGCCTGATGCACACATGAGAGACATTCACATTTTGATTATACCCTGCTGTTAAAGAAATTCTAAAGCAACATACTCCAGGCCCAACAGAACCATCAGAAATAAATTGACTCTTTAAAGAAATTAAACGCTATTGACTACCATCTTAAGAGTTGCTTACCTTCATTTCCAGTAAAGAACTCTCACTTGTTAGGATTATAGCCTGTTTTACATGTACCACACCTACATCTGTCTTATCCACATGAAGTATCTGGCAACACCATTCAGAAAAATCATTTCCCATATCTACACACTTTGCCCAACATATCAATTATCTTTTAAACAACCCAAAATATTCTATTCTCTACTTCTAAAAGACTATTACAGAACAGTCCAACTAACCCTGAAACTAGCTTAAAATACGACAGACAGACAGACAGACAGACACACACACATACACACACCCGATAAAACTTACCTGCTCAGACACAGAGCCATTTTTGCACCAGTCCTGTAGTCAGCCCAAACACATTCAATGTACACTGCAGTCTTACGCAAGTACCTCTACAGAGGTGAGGACCGTTATTTCTATGTGTATCTACTCTGTCCCTTTTCCTGCACAAGGACTTATGATTTTTGATGACAAGAGTTGTGTGCCTTTACCTCCCACTCTCCCCTATGGACCTCACCATGTTGTTTTATGTGGCGCATACACTTCATAAATGCTGACTAAATTATCAAATCCAGATGGCATGCCTCCAGCATGAGCATGTCCCAGGGACCAAGCCAGGTACAAACAGCCATCACACATACACACACAGACATTGTTTCTAACCTCATGGAGCTTGTAGCCCTCCAGGGGAAGCCTGTAAGATGGCACACATAAGAACATCTCTATAGAATGTGACAAAATATAAATGTATTTATATTTTGAGATGGGATACATTTTACACACAAATTGTGTAATAGATACGGATATTTATAAAATTTATTTATTTAAACATGTATATATAACCCCCAATGTCATTTAGTCTGAAGTTTAAGAAGGTGGGAAGATGGCAGATGACTAAAGGGTAGAAAAACAGCTGGATTGTTTACAGAGGTGTTCAGGGGCTTTGGTAAGAGATTAGCAAAGAATAAGGACATAAAATGCACACAAACTCAAGAAATGGCTAATAAGGATATGAAAAGACATGCCATGCAGATGAGATGGGACACGTACCTAACAAAATAATAGTTGAGGCTGGAGAACAGTAACAGTGGGTAACTTCCATGCCCACTGCAGCCAACAGCCAGTTAGGAATATAAACTATTTCTTTAGTTTTTCAAGGGTCAGGGGCACCATGATAGTACCCTCCAAACTCTAGCTTTTATTCTTTACACTAACAGCAATTCAATTTCTAGAAATGTAGCCTAAAGAAATATTTCTATCACTGAGGAATATCTATTGCAGTAATTTAATAGTGTACTTTAGAATCAACATATGTTCGTTAACACAGTAATGGGTAAATAATTTATGACGCACTTGTATTTCAGAATAGTATATACTATTAAGGTTAAACTACATCTTTAATAATGTCTGTGTGTACAAATCATGTGTACTATGATTTTATGTATATAAAATACTTCACTAAATGTGTATGAATACATTTATACACGGTCCAAAGGTCTGAAAAGATGTGCACAAAACTGTTGCTAGGTCCTCACAGAAAGGGTGTGCCTTTTTCAGTCACTTGATCATGTGGACATATTGTTTGCATACTGTTAAAATCCAAAGGAAAAATGGGAAAAGGGTGATTTCAATGTGAATCCAATATGTACCTGAACTAAAAAGCCACTGTGTCAAAGGAAGTTAATAACCATTACTCTTGCTTTTCAAGAGATACACACTGACATATTTAGGAATATGTGTTACTTCTTTACAATGCTTCATCCTTCAATTCTATCTAGTAACATGTATATAAGATGGATTGAGACAGACACAGACACAGACACACACAGACACACAGACACACACAAACCAATCATCACAAAATATTAGCGGTAATGAAATCTGTATCTCACCTACGATGGCCTGCATCGGAATCCCTAGACTCTGCCATACTCTATGCTTCTTCCAAGAACCCTGCAACTCTGAAGTCAGTCCATTACAGCTGCCCCGTTTCTGTGGCGCCCTACCTTATGCACACCCTAACCCTGCTGACCATCCATCCCAGACCTCTGTTGTACACTTCTTCCAGAGGCCTTGTTTGACACTACATAGACACTGCTACTCACCAAGTCACCTCACCCTCATCACTCTGTGCTTCTCGTGTAACATCAACAGTGTAAAACTTACAACTTCATATATATTGGCATCTTTTATGTTTCTAAGGCACTAAAACGTGAACATTTAAACACAATGGATTTCATGTCACAAAACTCCCATAACTAACCTTTCCCTTCAGGTTTATCAACTGCAATCTGAATGTGCCTTGTATGCCTAATATCCTAGGAACTGAAGGCCTCATTTCTTTCCCCTCTGTGAGCAGAGCTGCATGACTCTCAATGGTTTGTGCTCCTCACTGTGCTGTAGGCTCTGTATGGGTGACATCCTGTTTTTCTGATCACTGCTTATTAAGAATTTAGAAGGCATTCAACAAAAAAATCATTATATAAATGAGCCAATGAGAAATTGTTACACAATTTTATGTATTTGAGGAATGTGAACTGAAACAAAACAGTTGAGGAAATGGCCAATGGTTCTGAAGACAAAATAATTTCACACAAAGCATTTTCCTTTGAGAACATGTACTAAACACATAAATAGTATAATCAATAAAATCACACCAGGAAACTCTTCAAATCTAGGGAAGGAGGTGGCCGCCCTCGTTCAGGAGGCATTTAGAATAGTAAACTGGCAAGACCAGAAAAGAACCTTCTCATGTCATATGTTATAAGCAAAACATGTAGTACAGAGAAAAAGGAAGAAGCACTGAAAGCGCCTAAAGAGACGCTCCAACCACATATAAAGGCAAACCCATCAGAATCACAGCAGGTTTCCCAAGAGAACCCCTAAAAGCCTGGAGAACGCAGACGGACATATTCAAACCCCTGACAAATAGCATCTGCCAACCCAGGCATAATTAAATGAAAAAGAAATACTTCCACGATCAACGCAAGCTAAAGGAATTCATGACCACTAAGCCACCACTACAAAAGAACACAAAGATATCCACTGAAGAGGACAAGTCCAGGATGTTACAGATAAGCAAACAAGGAAGGGAAGCCTTAGGCATCACGCCACCAACAGAATTAACAGGAATAAGACACACCTCTCAATAATAAATGAATGTTGATGGTCTCAATTATCCAATCAAAGCACACAACCTAGCAGACTGGGCAAAAACCAGGCTGCATCCATTTGTTACCTCTAAGAAGTACATCTTACCGTCAAAGATAAGCACAGACTTGAGGTGACAGAAAGGAAAAGGTACTCCAAACAAAGATAATTAGAAAATAAACAGGTGCTAAAATTCTATTATCTGAAAAATAGATTTCAAATCAAAATCATTAGTCATGAGAAATAAAACAGGTCATTTATACTGTTTAAGGGACCCATACACCAAGAATATACAATGTATATACTACCAACATGCCCAATTTATTTTTTAAATTTATTTTTATGTGTATGAGTGTTATACCTGCATGTACTAAGTGTACCTGTGTTGTGCAATGCCCACAGAGGACAGAAGAGGGCGTTGGATTCCCTGGAACTGGAGTTATGGTTGGTTCTTAGCTGACATGTGTGTACTGGGATTCAAACCCGGTCTTTTGCAAGAACAGTCAGGGTTCTTAACCGCTGAGCAATCTCTCCAGCCCTGACACACAAATTTCATAGAACAAAAAGTCACAGATTAACCTCGACTCAACACAACAGTAGTGGGTAACTTCCATGCCCATAGTAGCCAACACACTATTCATACATTTTTGTTGTTGTTCTGCTGAGAAACATTGGCATTAAATGACACAGAGCAAATGGACCTGACTGACACGTACAGAAAATTCTATTCAAACACTGCATAAACTGTGAACCTTCTCTAAAATAGACCATTATAACAATACAGAAAGACAGACTTAAATACAGGAAATTTGGAATCATTTCTTATAGTCTTCCAGATCACAATGGAATAAAGCTAGAAATCAACAGCAAAAGAAACTACAGAATATGTACAAACTCATGAGACTGAACAATATACTCTGAACAAGAAAACAGTAACAAAAAACAACTACAAAACCCAACAACAACAAAAATCTAATCAAGGGGTAAAAATACTTCTATAATGAAAAATTCCGAAACACTAAAATAATACATTAGGGGCTGGAGAGATGGCTCAGCGGTTAAGAGCACTGGCTGCTCTTGTAGAGGACCTGGGCTCAATTCCCAAAACCTACATGGTGGCTAACAATAGTCCATAAAACTTTAGTTCCAGGTGATCCAACACTCTCTTCTGATCTCCATGGACACTGCACAACAGGTGTGCACTTACACAGAGGGCAGTACACTCATACACAAAAAATAAATAAGAAATTGACACTAGAAGATGGAAAAACCTTTTATGCTCATGGATTGGCAGAATTAATATTGTGAAAATGGCTATATTACCAAAGACAATATACAGAATCAATGTCATCCCCATCAAAATACCAACATTCTTCACAGTAAAAAATGAAAATAAAAAAATCAATATGGAAGCAGCAAAGACCTGAGACCCACAGAGATCCTGAGGAAGAATAATGCTGGGGGTACCACCATACTTGATTTCGAGTTATACTACAAAACCACAGAAACAAGAAGAGGACAGGGCTGGAGAGATGGCTTAGCAGTCAAGAACACTGCCTGCTCTTGCAGAGGACCTGGGTTCAATTCCCAGTACCCACACAGCAGCTAACAACCATCCACAGTCCATAATCCCAGTTCCAGGGAAATTCGACACCCTCTTGTGACCTCTGCGGGCATTGCACAACACAGGTGCATTTACATACATGCAGGCAATACTCTCATACACACGTAAAATAAAAAATAATAAAGAGGACAACACTGGCAGAAAAACAGATATGTAGGTCAATAGAATCGAGCAGAAGATCTAGAAAAATACCCACACAGCCACAGCAATCTGTTTTTTTTTTTTTTTTTGACAAAGATGTTAAAAACACACACTGGTGAAGATAGCATCTTGAACAAATGATACAAAGAAACTGGTATCCACATGTAGAACTAGATCCCTACCTTTCATCCTGCATAAAAATGAATTCCAAATGGATCAAAGACCTTTATGTAAGTCTTGCAATTTTTTAATAGTTGAAGGAAAACAAGAGAAAAATTCAAGATAAGGGCATAGGCAAGGATTTTCTGAAAATGGGCTCCCATCTTTCAGGAAAATTATTTTCCAAGAATTAAAAAGGGATTGCATGAAATTAAAATCTTCTGCACACCAAAGGGAACAGATGAGTGAAGAGACAGCCTACAAAATGGGGGGGGGGGGGATCTTTACACATCTGACAGAGAATTGCTATCTAGAATATTTAAAGAATTTACAAAACTAGGGGCTGGAGAGATGGCTCAGCGGTTAAGAACACTAGTTGTTCTTGCAGAAGACCAGGTTTGAATCCCAGCACCCACATGGCAGCTAACAACTGTCTGTAACTCTAGTTCCAGGGGACCCAACAGCCTCTTCTGTCCTCCGTGGGCACTGCATAACACGGGTTCTAAGGGGACCCAGTTCCAGGGGACCCAACAGGCTCTTCTGTCCTCCGTGGGCACTGCATAACATGGGTACACTTACCTACATGCAGGCAATACACGCATACACAAAAAATAAAAATAATAAAATAAACTATTTAAAAAATTACAAAACTGAATACTGAGATATCAAATAACCAAATTACTAAATGAGCTAATGAAATGAACGAACACTTTTCATAGGATAAAGTATAAATGGCCAATAGACACATGAAAAAATGTCCAACCTTACTAGCCATCAATGGAATGCCAATTAATGAACCACAGAATCGATCCTGGAAAGTATAGTATAGTCTTAGGAAATGCAAATTAAAACTACACCGAGATTCCACCTCACCTCAGAGTAGCAGTCATAAGAAAGCAACAACTGTTTGTGAGGACACATAGAAAGAGACCCCCTATCCCCAGCTGGGTAGGAAATAAGTTAATCCAGCCATTATGAGAATCATATGAAAGTAAAAATACATCTGCTTTATTACTGGGTATTTACAGAAGGACTCATTTAATGTATTCAGAGACGCTTCCATATCAAAGGCTAGTGCAGCGCTATTCACAAGATCTAAGTTATAGGTGTCTGTCAACAGAAGAATGGATGAGGAAAATGAGGTAAGCATACATAATTCAGCTCTAAAGAATGAAATTACACTGCAGAGAAATGTATATAGCTGGAAATTATATTAACTGAATTAAATCTGAATCAGAAAAACAAATGTTCCATGTATTCTCCCATTTGTGGATCCTAGGTTTTATATAGATCTATGTATGTATGTATGTATGTATGTATGTATGTATGTATGTATTATCTATCTACCTATCTATCTACCTATCTATCTATCTATCTATCTATCTATCTATATCTATCTCTATCTATCATCTATCTATCTTCCTCCACCATCTCCACCATATTTCAAATCAGCAGTTGAACAATTGTCTGTATATGGCATGAAAATAGAAGTGAAGCTTTCTAGGAGAATGAAGGGACAGATGGGGTGTGGATGTGTGAAAGAGGAAGGGAGTAAGACAAGGAGGAAATATGCTCAAACTACATTCTACACTGTGTGCAAACGTCCTTGTGAAGCACAGTATTGTATGCAGTGAATATATGCCAACAACAACAATAAGAATCTTCCTTTGAGAGGACAGTGGTCAAAAAAGGAGCTGGGGGGATATGATCCAAATGTATGTTTTCAAATGACTAATAAAATATTGAAGAAAAAGGAAATACTCTTGTGAAAAAGATGGCTGAGGACGTAAGGCCTTTGAGAAGGACGGGAAGTTTTAAAGGAAGGTGCTCCTAAAATCCCGGGTTTTGCCCTGTTACTATGAAAGATATGGAGATTAAGACAGAAACACCCTTCAATTAAATTTTCTGCCATTAATTCTTTGCTTTAATACTTTGTAAAGCTCAGCAGTTCCTCCACGATTTCCCAGTTAATTTCATTCCTAGCTGTGAGTGCAAGAAGAGAATTTAAACTAACCTTACTTGTAAATCCCTCCCCAGAATCCAAGGGCTCTTCTCTCTTCTCCCTCCCTATTCTCCTCTCTTCTTTATTCTTTGGGCAGTGCTGATGATTGAACCCAAGATCTGCATATGCTAATCAAGTGCTCTACTGTTGGAGGTACACTCTGGAGCTTTCTTAAATCCAGTTTTCAAACCTCAAGTCCTCCATCTTCAACTCAGTCCAACTAGGCTAATACACCTAATGCTTCAAAATTAAGACTGCCCCACAAACTGCTAAGTATTTTTTCCAACTAAAGCTGGATGGTTGTTTTTGAACACAGCTTATATATATATAAATATTAGCAAATATTTACACTTGGCAAATTACTCTTCTTAATGGGGTGAGCCTAAATTCTTAGCCCAAAAGGAACAATTTTCAAAGTAGAAGGTTTTTTAATTAAAAAAATATTTTCTTTATTACTTTTATTTTATGTATATGAGTATATTGCCTGCATGTATGTGAGTACACCCATGTCATGCAATGCTGTGGAGGTCAGAAGAGAGCTTCGGATTCCCCTGGAACTGGAGTGAAGGACGATTCGTAGCCACCATGTGGGTGTTAGGAATTGAACCCCAGTCCTCTGCAAGAGCAGTCAGTGCTCTTAACTGCTGAGCCATCTCTCCAGCCCCCAAAGCAGAAGTTCTTTAACCTGAACAGAGTCAGTTTATCCTTCCAAGACTGCCTGTAAGGTGGAGGCTTCTAAACCTTCAGACTTGCAATCCTCTTTCCTGTCACTATCTCCCTCCCCACCCTCGCCTGAAAGGGAGGCTCATTTCTAATAAACACTATCTCTTAATACATAGATCCACATATGCTTCCCAATCTACCATGAACATCTCACCAAGTTCTCAATTACAATGAGGTGGCAACCTAACAAATATGGATGTTAAAAAGACAAAACGATGTCCTGATGTCTGATACAGAATGTTGATTGCTTTATAAAAATTGGAGGGAGCAGGAGAGAAGTTATAAAACATGGCTAAAAACAAAACTGAAATTTTAACCACCACTGTTTGTTAAAGAAATCCAAATACTAGAGAGCAAATCTGACAGTATTTATTTATTTTACAATAGTATTACTGTGTTAGACTAAGGTGTCAAGATTGCCATGTGGAGAAAAGAATCTCTGAGAAAACCTTACCACTAAAGCATAAACCAACTATTTTGCATAGAGCACTTACTCATCCTTTCCCCAAACAAGAACTGCACGTGCACTGATGTGCTCATTCCCACCGAGAGATCATTTACCTTTTGACGTCGTTTCTCTTTCCTTTTGTCTTCAGTGTCCTGTAACATTTTCTCTTTCCAGAGGTCAAAGAAATAGGAGGGGTCAGTATAGAACTTCAGCCCATCCTTCTTATCATCTCTGTGAATCAATGTATTAAAGTCAGAGAGGAAAAGACTGTCAGATACCTTCATCTGGAAGCTGATAGAATTTTAACTCACAGGGTTGTTAACACCTACATGAGGTATCCTAACTGCCCTACATATTATTGCCTAAATTTTCTTGCTTGAAAAAATGTGGAAACATGCACAAACAGCAATCAGTTCTACAACAATGACACTAGAGTGCTCTTAAGAATGAAAGAGTGAAGTAGGTACAATTCCTCCACAAAGTTCACAATATGACTAACAAAGAACAAGTCTTAATGTCTCACATATTTAAGGAAGTTTTATTTATTCCAACAGTCATAGATGGAGTCTTAGTATATATTGACTTCTATCCTTGAACTTCAATAAAGTTATGATTTAAAAAACTAGTTGTACTCTTCCCTTCTTCTCAGTCAGGCTTACTAAACATTTAGGAAAGAAGGAAACAAAATGTTCATGGGGTGTAGCTGTGCTTGGAAGCACAACAATGAACTACTTATTTTTGAAGAATCTTTGTATACTGTGGTTACTTCAGTTTTAAGTACTGCTATGATTAATGTGAGCTAAAGAATATTGTAAGTCATTATATAAATTACTCACTTAAATAAACAATAATAATGCAGTCAATGAGTCTAAAATGTTACTATAAATCAATAGTAATGCTCAAAACTTAGTCATGATGCAACACAAACGCTCTAGTCAAAAGTTAAACTGTATTTCAGCCTGAGCATCCCCTTTAAGTGGAAAGAGAAGATTTACATTTTATAACAATATTCCAGTTAAGTCAAATAAAGCATACAGGAGAGGCAAACTCAGTTAAATAAGCACAGACAGGAAAGAGGTCCCGTCTCCTGTCACCATCAAATACTACAAGCTTCACATACTAAGGCAGCTATACTAGACACTACCCGATGATTACTAACAAGCCAGTATAAGTCACTCTATGCTTCAGCACCTTCTTGGACCATTCAGCACCTTCCCATTTCTCTATTTGTTACCAACCTGCATGACCGAGACTTTATTACTAATATCATTGTAAAAAAACTGAATGATTCTCTGAGACATTAAGGCCTTGACAATACATAAGGTACAGAAAAACCGAGTTAGGAACGTTACTTAAAAGTTTAAAATGTATGGTCTATTAAAATAGAGTTACTATCAAATGAAGGCTGAAACTCACTAAACAAATATTAATTTTGACTTATCCTTAAAACCTATATGTACTCTATGTTTACAGCATTTAGTCACTTAGCTTTTCAGAGCCATGGCAGTGTCATATTTAAGTTCAAATATAAAAGGTTATGTTTATGTCCACAACCATTATCATACAAATGAAAAATAGATTTAGGGTAGCACTGCTTCTGAAACACATTAAAATCTCAAAGTCTTTACTTTCTGTAAGCCTGATTATATACACACATACATATATACTAAAGTTAAACACATTCTTCATGCAATAAAAATATTTAATCATGGTTTTGATTAATGAAATAAGTGGTTCATTGTGTTCTCTCAGTTTTTTCCTTTAACACAGAATTTTTAGTGAGCTTCTTCAGTAACATGAAGTAGGAAAATTTTAATGATCAAGCTCCCATGTTATAGTAAAAATACTGGGGGTCCAAAAACTAAGAAAAATTCAATTTTCCCGGGAAAGACTTCCATTGAATGAAAGCAGTCCTAAATTAAAATGATAGGCTTACAGTATTTCTATTCACACATATCATTAATTTTTTGGATACATGTATCTAGGAAAGCACACTTGTCCCATAAGAAGCTGAGGCGTGTTGCCCAGTCCCTTACTTCCCAGAGTGCTATCACATCTATCTGTATCTCTCTGTCCAGCAGAAAGGGTAGTGGTTTCTAACTGCCCTACCACAGACAGCAGCCCCCAAACCTATCTTCGTATTTTCTGTGGAAAGACTGGAAATCGGACCACGGAAAGCTTGGGGTCCTGAGGAGGAACAAAAGGGCCTGTGGGGGGAATGTCACAATGACAGTCACAGACAGAGAACCCTTCTTCATGGCCATCATGGTTTCTTCATGACTTTCACAGATGCTCAGCTGCCGTACTGACTCTGGAAAGGCAGCACCTTGGCTACCACCACTGCGCCCAGAAGATTCCAGAGGAGTGACCCACAGAGGGCAGGAAAGATGGGCAGAAGGACAAGGCCCACTATGGAGGATCGGGAGGCAGTATAAGTGAGAGGGGGAGACCAAGAGGGAGCAACAGGGACTATGGGAGGAAAACACTGTGGCATGGGGACACATGTAGGAGACTCTTTATTAATGTTCACACTACTTGCTTTCTATTCTTTTTCTTGGAGCTGGTCCCCTGACATGCCCGACCACTGTAACAATAACAGAGTAACAAATGTTTGTGTGCTACTGAAGTGCTCTAAGGTGAGGATCTCACATCATGAATGAACTGCACGGTTTCTCTCCAACTAACTTTGAGTATAGGGGTTCACACATGACCACAGCTGACATGCTGTATGGAGTGCCACTTCCAGTGACAACACCAGATTTACGTTCTAAAATCAGAGCTCACACTTGTAGTATTTATGTCCTGAAATCACTAACTTTAATTATTCTGTTATCAATAGCTAATTTCATTGAGTATAATGCTGCAGTTATTGTTTTCAGAGAATTCCTTTTGAACATTTCAGCCTCAATCTGGCCATTGACCTCCATTGCAAAGGCTGTGGGGACCCCAGAGCCATACCTGTAAGGTGTCAGAGTGTTCAGAGGTGGTGGTTTGTCACTCTGGTTGTAAATGTCAGCAACAGGATTGGGAATGCTGTTCTTTGAAACCACCTGCTGGTCTTGGATGGTAGAACTTTTGAAAGCTTTCTTCATGTTGATATCCTGTAGTGACACTATTTAGACAAAATCCCTCAAGTTGAGTTACATAGAAATAGTGTATCTCTTTTGAAATAGGTATCATTTGACTCAATCATAAACATCTTTTTGAACAACCAAATAACTTTTAGGGTTTTGTTGTTGTTGTTTCAGTTTGGGTTTTGTTTTTTTAAGACACGGTTTTTCTGTAACCCCAGCTGGCTTAGAACTAGATATGCAGACCAGTTTGGCTTCAAACTCAGAGATCTGCCTGCCCCTGCCTCCAGATAAGGGTTTTTATTGTTCATTTAAACCATGCTTAAACAGAGCGTCCATTACTCCCTTTAAAAGATAACAATTTTCTCTATGACATGAGGTCAAACTGTAGCTTCTTCTGTTGTAGCACTGCAATTATTTCATTAAACCTAAAACAGCCATTGTTCTTTGTTTCAACAGCCCTTCTCAGATACCATACACGAATGCAGCTAAGTACAACAGGCAGGGAGATGCATAGATTCAGGCACCCTACCTCCTACGAGTTACAGTAAAATAAGTACACAAAAAATATACAAATGTAAGTAATACATTAAGTATTTTGACATCGATGTTAAGGAAAGACAGCAAAGCTTTCCAAGGTTGTGTATAGTCCTATGAAATAAATAGCTTGATCGATGAAACAAGATTAGGGTAAGCAGCCAGACAATCAGGACTGGGGTACCTTCTTATGATGACACAACTTTTATATTTTATTTGCTAACTCATCTGTCCTTGACAACTGTGGCTCTGTGTACCCACCCGCTAGGTCATGAAGCTGTGATTCACAGATGTTGAGTGACATTGCAAAGATTTTCCACCAACAAGTGGTAATCCAGACTTCCCAGCTTTTAGGACAAGGTCTCTGCTACACTGATAACCAGGCTAATGAAAGGAGAAGGTAAAATTTTGACTGGAAAAGGAGTTTAAAGAAATGACATATACTCTGACAATCCACAAAATTCAGTCTACAGATTAACCTTTTCTAGAGTAAAGTTTAACATAAGCATTCCAGTTCCAAGACACAACAACAAAGATATCCAAGAAAGATCACTTATTAATCCATTGTGATACATATTTTTTTAAGTGAATGACTAATTTAAGATACTAAGAATTTTTTCTTTCTTTCTTTCTCTTTCTGTCTTTTTGAGACAGGGTCTCCCTGTAGCCCCAGCTGTTCTGGAACTCACTATGTAGACCAGGCTGGCCTTGAACTCACAGAGATCCACCTACCTCTGCCTCCCAAGTGCTAGGATTAAAGGTGTGCGCCACCACGCCCAGCAAGTATTCTTTACCAAGAATTCTTTACCAAGTAGCTATTAAAATTTTAGTTTTTAATTTAAAAATAAAATTTAAAACACCTAATTAAGAAGAGAACTTCTTTGACTTATTATTACTGCATTCAAATATAATATCTGTGATTTTTTAGACAAGAACATGGCATATGAGGCAGACAAGATAAAAATCTTTTCATCCCTAATTAACAAGTGTTGTAAGGTTCCCTTACTGTTCTTCCAGGAAAAGAGAAGATAAATGTCAGTACACTACACAAGGGGAAGAGCAGTGATTACCCTGCAATTAATTACTACTGCCTCGTCGACAGCATGTCTAGCTTGCTGCTTTCATGCAATTACCTACCCTCTTCCACTGTGGAGTCCAGCTGGGTGACTTTAACAGCAAGGCGATCGATTCTGTCTTGAAGAGAATTTGCTCTGATGTAGAAGTTGTTAGCCTCATTAAACAACTCACCAAATATGTCTTCAGCATGTTTGCCTACAGAGGAGAAAGGAGAAAGCCATCTGCTGAGGAACTGCCAGTGCGGCTCCATCCAGCCACACCCAGGCTCATTCCTGCTGCCATTTGAAGGGGTTGTCTACATGAGTATAGGAAGGGAGCAGCATGGTTCAAGGTCTTCAGACTTTCTAAATACCCCAGACAGCACAGCGCCTTCTTTGCTGCATGAGCTGTCACTCTTGTTCTTTCCACTAAATGTAACATCTTTAAGGAAAAAAAAAGTTTCTCATGTTACATGAAATAGAAACACCACCTCAGAAATTGTTTTCCTTTTATTACTCAACATAATTCAATAGATCATGTTGGCCTTAAAATACAGGATTTTACTTCAATTTCAGTAAGAAACATTATAGACTGTACATTGTGCCTGACACTTTCCAATGATATTATGTTCTAATATTTGGAAATGTAGTTATACAGTGCTGAATCTCACACACTCTTAAAAACCAAGTAAGTTTTCTATATTCTTATGAGTGCTAAATATATCCCATCCATCTTTTTTGAGACAGGGTTTCACTACGTAGCCCAGGCTGGCTTTGAGCATTTGCTACCATGTTTAGTCCCTACTTTTAATGTCTTTAACATGTCTGAAAAGATATGGTCATAAAGAATCTCCAAATCCTGACATATTTAATAACTACTCTAAATACCTAAAGACTTAGATTTTCTGATAGAGACACCTACCACTTCTGTTATTTTCATTTTTTATTGATTTGCTGCCTCGATGAGAAAAGAGAATCTGAACAATCCTGGAAGAGCCACCTGATCCAAGAACACTCATGTTTGAGCAGTGCTCTGCAGGCTTATGCAGGGCTCTAGTGGCTAGAATCAGCACATGGCTGAATTCATGAGTGCAGGAACCACGTCTGTCTACTGCTGCCGCCCCAGCTTAGACCCATGCTTCTCTATCACTTGTTCAACAAATCAATGAGCTACCCCAGGGCACAAATAGGAGTTACTGTTTTCATTCTCTAGATGATTAAACTGGGGATCACAAAGGTCATCTATTCAAATACTTTGGCAGGTAAGTGTCAGAAATAAATGAAACAAAGACTTCGTCTCCTGTTTTTATTATCTACTCCTTGGCCATGAAATATACAACAGCATGATAGTCCCTCAAAATTTTAAACACAGAGTTACCAAAGGATCCAGTAATTTTACTTCTGAGTATGCATCTAAAGAAGTGAAAATGATACTGGCATATTCGTGTTCACAGAAGCATCATTCAAAATGGTTAAGAGGTGAGAGTAACACACATGCTCATCAGTGGGTGAGTAAGGAAAGAGTATTGTCTTCAAAAGGCAGTAGCTTCTGGCTACAACAACATGGATAAACTAAGTAAAATAAGGTGGTCCCTAAAAGACTGATCTCATCCACATTGAGTTACTACCAAAGTCAAATTCAGACAGACAAAAACTAGAACAGGAGTACATGAATGGGAGAAGGAGGGACAGGAATTTGTTTACTGTGTACAGACTTTCAGTTCCATGAGATGAAAAAGTTCGGGGGCTCCGTTACAGAGCAATGTGAACAAAATACTGCTGAACTATACACCTATATATGACAAAAATAGTCAATTCATGTCGTGTATTTTTCCATGGTTGAAAATAAAAATATAAAAGCTTGAGAAGGGCAAGATAGATGGCAGATTAGAAGCTGCGTCTGAGACTGTGGATGAATACAGTTCAGAGCAGAACTGGGCTGCCTTCCTTGCCTCTGTGTCAAGCTGCTCCCGCAGAACATGCCTACAAACGTCTCCCACAGACAGACCTAGGCTGCCTGATGAATGCAGCACTGTCATCCCATGTCTACCATGGGCACCTCGCTGACCAGTGTCAGTAGGTGTTACCAGTGAACTGCTGATGGGAATGGCACAGGAGATTCACAGTCAGACAGTCCCTAATGCTGAAAGGCAACAAGCAGAGCTGACAAGAGGAGGGTGAGCACAGGAGTGTGGCAGACATGGCCAGAGACCCCGAAGTTGAGATACTAGGCAATATGACCTCCACCAGCATTGCCAGAAACGAGCGACTCTCCCTGGGAATCCAGTGCAGCACTCTGCTGAACTCAGAGGCACTGTGGCGAGCAGGCAGTCCAGATCTATTCGGAGCTTCACTAGGAACAAGACTAACTTGCTGGAGCAAATCTAGCAGGCCCACTGGAAGGGCATGCTGACTAAACCTATCAGAATAATTGAGCCAAGCAGCCCTCCACCTGTGGAGACTGACGCAAATGAAAATCTAAGGGGAGGGAGGAGCCACATCATCCAGTAAGGAAGGCCAAGGGCATGATGCCTTTTATTTCATGTTACTGCCTATATTTTATTTAACTTTTTCACTGTTTAGGTTTTTACTTATTTTTATTATTGAAACGAGTTTTATCATTACAATTTGTATTATTAAAAACTTATTTATTACAATTTTGCACATTAATTGTCAAGCTACTATGTTTCAGCTTCTCTGGGGAAAAAATGACTGTCCCTTTTCTACACATACAAAAATGTTTTTTTCTGCATCTCTCATGTACAATAATCTTCACACAAATGAAAACAATTCACAACTAAGGCAGCACTAAAGAAAATTATTTTTTTAAAGATTTTATTTATTTTTACTTTATATGTATGAGGACACTGCCTGCAGGTGTGGAAGTGCACCTGTTTCATGCAGTACCCATGAGGCCAGAGGTGGCATTGGATTCCCTGGAACTGGAGTTACATGTGGTTGCTAGCTGCCATGTGGGTGCTGGGAGGCAAACCCAGGTACTCTGGAGAACAGCAAATGCTCTTAACTGCTGAGCCATCTCTCCTGAAGAAAATTCTTAAAGAATACTGTATATGGAAGAGGACAGTCTCTTCCATAGGAACACAGGGAAGAATATATTCTATGAGAGGAGCAGATACGCAGAGACAGGGCAGAAGGAATACCATGGCCACATAACTGAAAGTAAGCTACGGATTCAATGCAACCCTCCTCAGAGTTCCAGTAACACTCTTCACATGACTAGAAAAATCAGTTCTAAAACTCTAGGGAAACCAAACACCATGGAGACCCAAAGCAATCCTCTAGGAAAGAACACTTCTGGAAGTCTCACAACACCTGAGTTCAAATTACAGTGACAAAGAGAGCACTGCGCTGGCACAAAAAGGTATGTAAAGCAATGCAACAGAGGAGAGGACCTGGAAACTTACTTCCACAGCTAAAACCTAAGTTTGACACAGGTGCCAACAACATACTGGGAAAAAACCAACCTCTTCAACAAATGGTGCCATAAATCTAAAAAGTAGATCCTCATCTCTCATCTTGCACAAAAATCAATTAAAAACAGATCTGAATTGCTGAAACCGCAAGGAGCAAACAGTTCAAAAGACAAGAATAGATGGGAACTTCCAGAACAGGACAAGCAGCACATGAAATAGCACCAAGAATTGACAAATGGGATTGCATTTAATTAGAACGCTTTCTCCACAGCAAAGGAACCCATCATCAGAGCAAACAGACTTCCTGGTAACAATGAGAGAAAATCTTTACCAGCTGTACTTCAGACAGGGGTTAATATCTAGATCATATAAAGAACTGCAAAAATCAAAACACTAAAAGAACAAAACTGGGCTAATGATCTGAACACACAGTTCTCAAAAGAAGAAATACAAATGAACAATAAATATCTTTAAGTGGTCTGCATAGTTAGCCACCAGGGAAACACAAATTAAGACTCTTTTGAGATTGCATCTCAGCTGTCAGAATGCCTATCATCAAGAACAAATGACAAATGCTGGCAATGAAGTGGGGAAAGAGGAAGCCTTATTTACTGCTGGTGAAGTATAAACTGGGGCAGCCTTATGGAAAACAGTGTGGAGAATTCTCAAACACCAAAACTAGATCTACCATATGAATCATCTACCACTCCTGGGCATATTCCCAAAGAATCCTATATCCTGCCCCAAGATACCTGCACATTCCTGTTTACTGCTGCTCTATTCACAGTAATAAGCATGTAGAAACAGCCTAAATGTCCATCAACATATGAGTGGATAATTAAAACACAGTATATA